TTTCATCCTGACTCGATCGAGATCGGCGAATTTGAGCTTCGCCTTGCGGATGAAGCTTAAATTAACGGCATCCTCAGGGTCCGCTTGTGCGGATACTTTGTTAACCGTTGTATCCGGTAATTTCACATTTGCGCGCAAACGACGAATTACCGCTGGGATTACCAGTAACGGGCAACATAGGTGTGCGCGTTCATCAGACGCTGATAAGAGAGGCAGGACCGAGAGAGTGCAGTTAACGTTCATCGATTTCGCGAGGGCGTAGCCCATCGCAATAACGACCGGTGATAACGCAGATAGTAAGGATCCGCGTCGTCGGGTGATTACCTTCTCTCATTATCGTCGTGATATCCGAGGACTGCCGGTGTCTTCCAACGAGATACAATTCGACTCTCGTACCTTGCGGGCCGTCGTTCGAGCCGGGGCGCCCTCGATCTCCGAGCGATTTCGCTGCCCGGGTAATCCCCAGGTAAAATAGATCCCTCTTTAAGCCGTGAGCAATACGTCGCTGCGATTGCTGTTTCGCACGAGCCCGAATTTACACCACGTGCAGCAACCACGCGTTCTCGGAAGCGCGTTACTCGCGCGGGATCGCCTCCTCCGAGATTCGCTCGGTTTCCTCCGTGTTGTCCAGCGCGGAAACGATCGTGGATCATTTCCTCGACCGGCGAAACCGACACGCGGGATTGCGAGAGAGGATCTCGGCGCGATCACGGTGCAGCAAGGCCCGTGATGAAAAATTCCCTACCGAATGCCCGAGACGCACCGAGGCGAAACGTACACCGGGACGCAACACTAAAGATTTCACGCGGTATACCGTATTACGACGCGGGTCCGCGTGCCGCTCATAAAGAACAACGCGTCCCCGTAGCTGCATTCTACACGCGCGTTGCTGCACATTGTACACTTTACGGTTCCCCGTGGAGCCGCCGCCGCTCCTGCCGGCGAATCTGCATTTATTGCCATCTAAATAAAGTCCCGCTGGCATAAATTGCTCGTTATAGCGGACGGGGCGGGCGAACTCGAATAAAACAGATCCAAATGCGGCCGAAGCGTCTCGTTTTCCCGCCCCTCGCATTTCTTCCCCCCCCCATCCTCCCTTCCTCTTTCTTTTCCTCCTTTTCCTATTTCTCCCTCTCTTCTGTACTTTTCCTTTTCTTCCTCGTCTAACCTGCCGCAAATGCCGAACGACGAGGCGGCGAATGATCTGGGGCAATTCCGTCCGGCCAATCAACGGGCACGCCGAAATACGGGAAATGTTTACCCGTCGCGCCGAATGATCGCGCGTTATCGCGCGCGATATACACACACTCGGTACGGACGATGTTACCGCGTGTTTTCCGAGTCCGTGCGGAAAATACGCGAGAAAACAACCGGCAAACAACGTTTTTCTCCCTCCCTCCCTCTCTTTCTTTCTTTGCGAGTGTGTAGTCGTGAATGTTTCATCTTCGCGGTTTAACGGCTGCGGTCGCGCGCTAGAAATGAATTTCGCGCTGACTCTTCGCCGCCGTTTTCTTCACCTTCTCCGGCGCGTTCGTTCTCCTTTCTTTCTCATGCATACACGAGCACAACACGCACACGCGCGCACACACACATACACACATACATTTGGGCGACTCCGCGTCAACGCGAGCGTGTAAGCCGTTAATTATAGCGCGTGTAATGCACTTCGATGGCGCGCGGAACGGAGCGCAATTTCCACCGTGGAAAATTGCAGATGCGAGCTCGCACGACGTAATTTATTTCGCTCGATTACGGTAACGCGCGCCTTGCGCTACGTTATGTCTACGTATCAACGACGCTATTCTCATTACCGAACTCCATCTCCCCTACGGCCTGCCCGTCCGTCTCCTCCGGGCCTGAGGATCCTTCCAAACGACCCCCCCCCCCGTGCTCTTTCTTCTCCCTCCGAGGACCGTCCTCTCGCGACAAGCGATTGTTGTTACTAATTGGTTCTGCCAATCCCAAATGTTTCCGTGATTGTGTCGCTTCGATGTAAACAAAATGTTTCCACAAGTCAACCCATGTTGGATAATTAAGCGATATTAAGTGGCAGCGAGCAAAAAAATATTCCTTGTTGCTGCTCCAGTGGGAACATAGCCTCACGATGAGCGAAACATCAATTTCGCATTCTTGATTTAAATCCTCGGAATTTTCGCAGCACGTGGAAACTTGTGAAACTTTCGACACACACCGATCCGAGAGTTGTATAGCTCTGTATCTCTGGATTTTTCGTGTCGTTGTTTTTCCGTATCGCCGGCGCTGTTCGATGTAAAAATCATTCTCGGTCGGAAGAAGATTGATGCTGAAAAACGCTCGCGTTGAAACATAACTGACGGTGCGGTGCGGTTCTCTTACTTTGATAGTGATGTAGCCTGTGGCACGTAGCATCATGTCCGTTCTACCGTAAAAATATTTTTCTAATTATTAATTGTTTGCCTTTTTGCTTTTCACCGAGTTCAACGCGATAGAACAGATTGAGGAACTATTGAAGGAACTATTGAGGAATTATTGACAATTGAACATTACGGAACGAACAAAGGAGATCTCATCGCTCCATTCGTCTCTCCCTCTCTGTCTCTGAATGCGGCAATTGACGTGATAATTAAAAAGAAAACTTTATCCTCTCGCCGTTTGAAACCATCATGTGTTTTATAAAATTTATTTCGTGAAAACGCGCGATATTTATACAAGTATCGAAATTCTGCTGGTGTAATTCTGATGTATAATACATAACGATAATAGAATAATAATATCGCATGGCTCAAAGTTTATCGCGAAATATAGCGAACAAATTAATTAATTAATTAAGAGACACAGGATACAATCCAAAACCGATTCCCAGTGATTATATAGCGTATGAAAATACTCATGTAAATTCTGTACGTTATTTACCGGCGAAGGGACGAAAAGGAAGGCGATCGGGAAAGAGACGAGAATTCGATCGTCAGGTTTTAAACACGTTTTAAGGAACGGGAATCGGTGGCATGCTCGAACAAGGATAGAACATCGTAGGGGCATAGTTTTGATTTATTATTCAGCGCTAAATAATGCCATGTACAACGCCGTTCCTTCTCTCTCCTCCTCTTCCTCCCCCCTCCTCTCTCTCTCTCTCTCTCCCTCTGGAATTTCTGACGAATACATAGAGTACAACGATGAGTTTGCGTTTCATTTGCCACGAGAGCCAACTACCGCCCATGCGGGATCTATTACGATGCTTATTCCGATGCTTATTCCGCGACCTAATTAATGTACATCGCGACCGTTATGATGTCGTACGTGTATGTATGGCATTCGCCATATTTTTGCTCGCACACGCGCGCAATTTGTTCCCGGCTGTACCAGCGAAACCCGAGAGTCATCGCGTCCTGCCAAATAGTAAAGACTGAAAAGTTCGGGAATTAAAGTCCAAGGAAAGATATTCGATGGAGAAGTTTCCAGGAGAACGAGAGTCGAGGTCTTTGAAATCCAAGATCTTTTGATATTCCAGATATTTCACGGTGTCACAGATATTCGAGAAAATTAATATTCGGGGACCTCGAGCGTTGGAAAGAAACTCGGAATCTGAAAAATGCGGAAACGACTGCCAGATTTGCGTGCTCCAACTTTCCGCGAGTCCCGGATTTCAAGCGGGATTCGCGAGTTAATATTCCGAAGGTCGTAAACGCACGTTAAACGGCCCGATGTTATCTTCCAACGAGTGTTCAGGATCGTCGGGAATGGTAACGGTTACGAGTGCTGCTGCTGCTGCTGCCTATCAAAGTGCATTTTACAGAGAAATCTCAACGGTGAGTATACATGGTAAGTGCTTGAACGACTGCACGTTTCTCTCTCTCTCTCTCTCTCTCTCTCTCTCTCTCTCTCTTGAATATCGACGCACATGCTGTAGTATCGCGAGAGTCTTTTGGTTTGTTCGTATGTTACTAGCAACTAGCATTATGCGCGGCAGGTCACTATCTCTACAATAAAGGTGCAGCGGTAAATACATATTATATATACAGTCTGCATACCTACATACATACATATATATATATATATATATACATGTATGTTATGTACTATGTGTGTGTCAATATAATTGTTAAAGTACAAGAAATTAAGAAAATACGGCCGAGTTTAAATTAGTACACTTATATAGAAGGGAATAGTTTCGCTCAATCACCCGTTCCGTGAATCTCATTTGAAAAGATTAGCGAATCCATTCCGTCGCTCAACGGCTAAATAAAATCGCTTGATTTGATTTCACTGTGTAAAGATGTGCCTGCACGGGAAAAGTGGGGATATATCCGCGAGTGGACACACACGCGCAAGCGATTACGATCGCCCGGATATGCATCGACGTTGCGATTCGTGTAATAATAATAATAATAATAACAACGGCATGTTAATTTCTACGATATATAAGTTGACCTACGTTTCATTGGATAGTTGATTAATCGACACGTGGTATTATCACCATGCGTCAAAAACTGGGAACTTCGCTGTGATCGAAGGATCGACGGACGGACGGAGTTTGACGGCGATTTGGCATCGCCGTTATGAATTAAGGATGCATTGCCCATTAGTGCCGTATGTCCAGCGGCGCATTCCAGGGGGTCACTCGTAAATTTAGTGTTTAACAAGCAAATTACGCCCCTATACATTTATTTCATTACCTATATAATAAATGTTAATTTGAGACGAAGTTGAGGTAGATATATATATACACAACATTACAAATACGAAAATGTTACTTTTTTTTTATTTTTCTTATCAATGCTATATTTACGCATCGGCTGATCTATTTAGGGATGCATAGATGTAACAGAAAGAGGTATATAAATGTTGAAATATATGTATATGTATATTTCGAGTATTACTATAAATTATATGAATTTAACGCCGCTGTACTTTTAAAACAAAATGGCCAATGAGTCTGAAACTTTTATATCATGTTGTCTGCATATTAGTCTTTAATACCATGATGGTTTTTAATTAAAATCTTGCGTTCAGTTTGTAAAATATTAAACAATTAATTCTTGATATCTTAGAAAATATTAAGAATGAAAATTGAAAATTGCACGTTAATTTTCAGAAATATACATAAAGCGTGTCAATTTTAGTTACAGATATTTCAGCTCCGGAATGTTCGATCTTTTCTCTAATTGCACGAGGAATGAGTTAAATAATATTTCAATGTACGCGAAGTGCGAGTTTCATCGAATTTTTATCACACCCATTTCACCTTACAAACCTCCTTTTAAGTGGAATAACGTTTGATCCGGGCTCTGAATTACTTTCGAACTTTTGGTATTACTTTTAAATACAAAATCGAAATTCGCGAACCGAGATCGTTTTCTGCTTAATTAATTAATTGCTTCGTACGGAAAGATCGATGAGTCCTTTCCGTCGCTCCTTCGACGATTGCAAGTGACCGGCTTCATCAATAACATCACCCCTATTTCCGACTTATCGAAATCTAAGAGACCTCTCGTGCACAGCTGTTATTCACGCGTTCGATTTTTCAACTGAAAAAAAAAAACGCGATCACTCCTCCGTGCGCGATCGCTCGCCGTTTTATCCCGCGCGAGGATCCCAGCGCGGCGGTTATAATCGAGCATCCGACATCCTTTTTCGATGTCACCCCTGCATGAAGAAGACGAGGCGAATCGCTTTTCACCATGCGACATCGGCCAATCGTCCCCGGCGGTTCTTTTTGCGGAAAGAAATGAACCGACCGAACCGGACGTCATTTTGCACATACACGCTCGCAGTCGCACATACACTCTCATACACATGCACGTGAATTCCGGGGCGCGAAACGTGACAATGGTAGCGAGCGGCTAATCGCGCGTCATTTCCAGTCCGAGCGCACACGTCACGTCAAATTTCTCTGCCTCGCCAAGTCCACCGAAACGAACGGACGACCGATGAGAACGTCACACGCAGCTTCCTCGAGGACGACCCCGAGGACACGCGAATACCCCGCCGGCCCGTACGTCCAAGTCCCTCCGGCCTGTCCTGCGAATTGATCACTGCACTTCACAGACGAAGAAAGTCTCGAAGCTGCAGGGGCTGTCGTTCCACTTGAGCCCTTTGCCGTCCCTGTTCCAGAGCTCCAGGCAATGCTCCTCCTCGCCGTTCTCGTATCTGGAATTCGAATAGTCCGCCGCCGTCAGGCGGAATTCACAAGCGTCTCGCGCGAGCGACGGAAATCTTTCTGCGAATAAATCGCTCTGCGACCGCGTTTCGCGGCGATTTCGGAATAACGAAAGAAAAATAATCGAAGCCACCTTCCTCCGAGTCTGTATTTCCCTCGCTATCGGATCGAATCGTCCCTCTTTTTTGGGTACTCGGTAGCGGTCGTTTCGATAAACATCTCTTAACCACCGAAGGATGATTTTATTCCCTTTTCCGATAATGAGCAACGCCGCCGGCCGAAACAAATCAATACGAGCGCGCGCGCGCGCGCGCGATGAAACAAGCCCCGACACCCATGATTTACGTCAATCATATTGCAGATCGCCGGCGTACATCCAATATCCGAAGGAATGTAAATCGTCGGCGATCGTGAGACAGCCTTACCGGAAATTATTCGGCTCGCCGACGTTCCAGTTCTCGAACGTGATCGGCCTGCCGTTAGCCATCCAGAAGAAAGTACCCTCCTCGGCCTGGTCGGTGCCGGAGGTCCAAAAGTGCTCGTGACCGAGCCCGAAGTCCTTGATGTGCTTCTCGAGCCTGTCGTTCTCCTCCTGCGAGGCTATGCTCGCCAGATGCATCCCGTGATAACGGCAATACTGCGAGGCTCTGTACCAGTTCGCCTGCAAGGACAGAAGAGGATTGCCGTAATAATATTGCTTAAAAATCGCCCCGCCGATCTTCCCTTCGGAAAAAGTCGTTCGCGTCCTCGCGACGACTCGTTGTCGTCGATAATCGCCGCGCATACCGTTACGTATTGAGTATTAATGATTCGCAATGTGTTCCATATGGATAATTAATAATTTACGCATTAATAATTTATAATGTATCGTATGAATAGTGGATTAAATCGCCCGGCGAACAGGCGATTACGGAAAAGTGTTAAAATCCAGGTGCGTGCGTTAAATCCCGGAATAATAACAACCGCCGGGCGGAACGTTTGAACTGTTGGCAAATATAAGTAAATTACCGGGACGAGGTAAGCCGCCCCTTGACGGCATTGTTATTGTTATCATCGCTGTTATTATTACACGTAACACACGAGTGTGCCTGTCGATTGATTACTGCGGATTGATTCGCGTTAATAACTTGCAGCAGGTATATTGTGGGTGGCCATTAATATTCACGCTAAGGTTACATAATCGCCACTCCGATATCGATATTTCGCGAGGTCGCAATCGGGAATATATATATATATATATATATACATATATATTCCGGGCAATACGGTGGAGCAGCTAAACCTGTTATTCCGCAACGTGACAATAATCCAGATTATCGCGCCAAGGCGCTGACGACTGCGCGCGCGCGAGCGAAGCGTCCGGCGTGACGTCCGGCGAGATTTTCTCGCGAATAATCGAAACCGCTTGCGAAACTGCGTGCTCGATCGTTCAACTGCGAAGCTGCAATATATCTCGCGACGAGGCGGCTCGTACACGCCGAGAAAGAATGTCGGACGGAAAGTCTCTCGCTAGGTCTCGTGGTAGATATTTTTCCGCGCGCCGCCTCGCGAAACCTCGAGGCGTGCGTTAAGCTGCGGTGCGGGCGATTAAACGATTCAATTTTACGATTAAACGCACGTGTTACCGCGAAACCGCGTGGAAAACGTTGTAAAACTGCCACAAAGAATGATCCGTTCATAGAGGGATAAATAAAAACATTGATATATAAATAAGTAAATAAGAGAGAGAAAGAGACAGAGAGGGTGAATATATAAAAGAGTTTTAAGGATCATTCGACAATTACATCGCGCGAAATTTTTGAATATTTTTTATCCCCCCCCTCTCCCCAAACCCCTCTCCATTCACATTTCGTCACAAAGTATAATAAATTTGGGTCCCTTTCCAATATTATATGCGACATGTGGAATTACCTTCTTCCTCTCTCTTGCTCACAGAGTAGCTTATAATTATATTGCGCGTGATAATTCTTACACTGCATGCTACTGCCTTTTTCTAGAATAGATGAAGTGTTCAAGCATAATATCAAATTAATTACCTTACTTTATAATTTCGATTATGATAAAAGTTGTGTTTTTACGAGAAAAATGTTGAAAAATTAACATTTTGATTACGATAAACGCAAAATCGTGTCAGAGCTTCGACATTTTCACCGACGAATGTAATGAAATGTTACGAATGCAAACAAAGTGGATAACCACGCGCATCCACAGTTACAGTTATCCACTTAATGTCATGCTCCATGGCTTTTACCCCCCTCTTCCCCTTTCCCGAGTGTGGCGTTATTGTTGAATGGTCTCTTATCCTTTCTAGGGTAAGAGTGGAAAATCAGAAATCGATATATCTCACGAGAGCCGGAAGGAAATTCGGAACTCACTTTCGCAAAATCTCATCGTAGATCCAAGTTATTTCATCATTTTTCGATGCATACACTCCGCACATTGAAATGTACGCGCTGTATCTTCGGTCGGGTGAATTTATCAACTCGGTACCTACCAAACCCTGGAATCGCCTCGGGCTTTTTATAACGACGCGAATATTTTCGCTAATAATCTCGCTCGTGCGTCGTGATGTTTTATGCACCACGAGAGAAACCCGACGAATGAACGAACTCGGGCGAATGTATATTTCGGTATTTCGAATATTACACGGCGTTATGTATATCGACGTATCGGCCGTGTAACTTCGGTCATTCGCGCTACATTACGCGCTTTTTATGGCCACGGCGCGTTGCAAAAGCGCGAGAACCGGCTCGGCGGAGCGATGGTCCTTTACGATCGTTCGAGCTTCCCAACAACGCGATACATCGCGTTCAGTCCGCGCGAGCGACCGTTTAAGCGCATTTCGGCGCGAAATTGCCTCGCAACGCGCCGTCGTATAGTCGACCGCGAAAAATATCGCAACGCGTTTCTCCTCGACGGCAAAGACGGAATCGCGATTCTCGTGTGTTCCGAAAGTCGTCGGAATCATTGCGTCAGCCAAAAAGCTCGAGATTCGATCGCCCGCCGTCTTCGACGGTAAACTGGCCACCTTTTACACAAAGAAAAAGATTCCTTTGGATTTAGCGAAATTTCCTCGATCGAAACAAACTTTTCCCTTTTTAGAATAAAGCGAACGAACGAAGGTTTGATTCAACAAACAAGACAGTTTGATTTCCCAAACGATAAATATCTTCACGTCCACATAAAAATAATAAAAAATACCGAAAATACAAAATGAACTATGAGAAATATATGCAAATGCTGCCAAAACGTCAGCGAAAAATTATAAACGGCGACCTCGGATATATTTGGTTCGCGTATGATTGAATCCTGCTGATTGGAATCAAATAAAATTGAAACGCGGTGAAAAATTAAATTGAACTTTTAGAAATAAAATACGAGAAAATTGCATTCTATAATCGTACCGGGACATTTCGATCGACCCGATAAGAATGTCGCGAATTTTTCGCGGCCAATTACACATTACTCGCGAATCCCGAGTGTCCGGCCACGAATATCGACAGCATTCTTGATAATGCGACACATCATTCTCTCCTCTCGTTAACACACGTTCTGCGTTCTGCGTTCTCGGGCCGTTTTCCCTGCTTTCAATTCACGCCGCGTTATTAATTCACACCGTCGAAAACGGTGCACGAGGTGGAGCTTGATAAATGATATAAATCAACACGATTACAGAATACATGAATGGGCGATAAAGCAAATTATACACTGAGAAAAATATCATATCTGATCGGATAATCCAATTAAAAAGTAAGAAACGAATATACCAGACGATCAAGTGCAACGTCCGATCATTTCATCCGATCAAGTCGTGCCTTCATCCGATGAAAATGACTACGGATATACAAAAGGCGGCCGATTTTCCAATTAAGTTCCATCGGTAACTTCATCGGATAAAGATATCCATCATTTAATCGGACGATACAATTACATACAAAATAATACAAAAATAATCGGACATATCATTTCAATCGGTTTATCCGATGGAAATTTTTCTCAGTGTTTATTTTACTCCTATTTTGCATCCTAACGACAAAATATCAGTTGACGCGAGATCGATTTCAGCCGGAAAAAAAAACATAACACTGGAACACGTTGACAAATAACAGCAAAATTCAACTATTATAGAAGAGGAGGAGTTGCGAAACGCGGTCGAGCGGTGCGAGCGCGAATATTCGCGATCCTCGGAAGTTTCTTATCCGCGTAATTAGGACGCGTTCGGTACACATCTTCGCCGAGGGGCTGGAATGTTAGCCCGAAATCTCGCGGGAACGACAATGCGCGGCTGTTGTTATGAAACACGCAACAACAGCCACGCCGCATTCCCCGCGGAAAGCGCGACTTTTGATACGCGCATATATTTCGGTAATTTCCGAGCAAGATCGCTCCCTCCTCCGCGGATCGTTTCGGCCGAAATTTCCAAGCGACAGAGTCATCATCGGCGGTTAATTGCAATGCGCACGCGCGTTTCCTCGCTTGCTGTTCTCGATTGATAAAACGAGTTTGTTTTATTACACTTTGCGCGATGACGCTCGCGAGCAAACGCGAGAACTCTCGTCGCGGTATAAGTAAGCTGTTTACCGGGACGAGCGGAATCTTCGTGCGTAGACAGGCATCTTTACGCGGGCGCCAAGTTTTCGGGCTGAAAGTAATTATAGCGAGCCGACGGGAATTTTGTTGCCTTTCGTTGATATTTTGAGGCGTCTTCTGCTAATGAATCCTCGCGGATGTTAAACGCGCCGAGGTTTGCGCGAATTAACATAGCCGGTAATTAACGCCGACGGTAGCTAGTGCCTGTGTAAATTATTTGTCTTAACCGTGCCGAGACTAACCTCCGTGTTAACATAATCCAACTTGAATCGGGCTCCGTGTTAATTAATATACGCGGTATATGTAGTAGAGATTAATCTCGTTCAACGAATCGCGAGTAAACCTTGCCGGAACTCTCTGACGGACGCGACGCTTTGAAGTGGCTCGCTCTTGAACAGCCCCTTGAAAATCGACCGACTTCGGCTACTCGTCAATCCTAGAATACTGATGCGCATCTCCGAGACGTGCGCAGCAAAAAAGTGCTGGTTTTAAGTAAACAATTACTCCGATGCTCCTCGGCAAATTTTTACTTGGGCCAAATAAGTATGTTTCACTTGGACAATTTACTTGGGAAATATTTTACTCGGTTCAAGTGAGTATCGATCCGAGTGAAAATGTTGCGGCACTTTGCATCCATGCGCGTAAACTTGAATCTCACATCTCTCATCGACAGAAATTTCGAGTCCAAAAATAATATGACAGGTCAATCTTGATGCCTTTCCTCTATGTGTCATATTAAAAAGTCCCGGAGTTTCCTTTTTTCAATCACCACACGACGTCTCCGAAACACAGAATTGGGAGCTCGGACCCAGAATAAAGGATTAGTGTTCCGAGGTGAAATCCAACGATGATCACCGTCGTTATAATTACTCCGTCTGGATGACGACACATTTCTCCAATCGATGCGATCTGTCGCGTTTAATTTCGGAGTCGCCGCATCCCGCGAGACGACTTCCTCGCTGCCCGACAGCTCGTTTTATTACCCGCCACCCCTGCCGGCATTTGTGTGTTCGTTATACATCTCGCGCCTTCGCGTACCTTCTTCTATCTGTTTGCGTTTCTCCGGCTACACGCTCGCATTTAGTTGTTCGTGAAGAATTTATCCGAGAGAGCACGGTAAATATTGTCTCTCGCTCTGTCAACGTTAATGGCAGCGAATTTCACGTCGCTCTCACCCTCTCACCACCCTCTCTCTCTCTCTCTCTCTCTCTTTCTTTCTCCCTCGACGTTCTTTCGGCGGCGATTCGACCGAGGGAAGGACACGGAGGCAGGAGGAACGCGAAGGACGCGAAAAATCGCGCGTAACCCGTCAGGAATGCAAATAAAGTGCAATAAATAGGGCGCCGTCGTGCGATTGCCGAGCCGGCGGTCTCGCCGTTGCAGTTGCATCGCCTCTCGCATTCCCTCTCCGCCTCTTCGCGTCACGCAGCGCGGCCGCCCGGCACGAAATCGTCGTTACTCGTGCACGACGGGCTCCGCTTAAGCCCCCGTTGCATGTTCTTTAAACGAAACAGCAATCGTACGTGACGATCAATGGCGAAGTTATTGGCTCCTCGGTGTCGGTCCCGCTCGCTCCGAGAATTCGCATGGCCGAGGTGAAGAATAAACGCGCCCGAGAGCTGATAATTTCGAACGATACATCAAGAGCGCGTGTCGGTCAGCGAGTGGGAAAAACGGGGGGAAAAAGGGACGCTCGATGTTCCCGAGGAGAAAAAACGAGCACGGAATACGGGAGCTTGGTGTTTGACCGGTGTGTGTTGTTGTTGCGGCCGTTGAGAAAATAATATGGCTGTCGATACCGCGGAGGCAGAAATGGCAGGGAGGGATTCAGCGATATTTATTAAATACCGACGTCGATTCAATAGGCGGAGGTGAATGTAATTCGACACGAAAATTGGATATCGCGCCCCGGTCAATTTCGGTTGTCGGCGGAATATCTCGAGTATCTGTTCCTCCTTCCTCTCGGCGATCGGTGTTTGGTTTCCGATATCCTCGATCGTAAAAAGCCGCGGCACAGCCCATAAAAATAAAAGCAACCGCAATTGGCAGCGTAATTCGCCGTAAGTCGGACGCGACTCTCGTTGAATCGGATAAAAGCGAGTACGTTCGAGCCGTCGCGAAACAATCGTTCTATATCGGTCAACCGATACTTGGCGTATAATTCAACTGGGTCTTCGCCGACAACGTCGTTCTTCGTCTACGAAAACCCGAACAACCGTTTCAGCGATTGAACTGCGGTACATAACTGAAAATTTTTTATCTGATTGTGTCACTTTAAATCCGACAATAGATTTCATATCTCTATACATCTTACTGTGAGAGAAAGAAAGAGAGAGAGAGAGAGAGGGAGAGAGACAGAGAGCATCGTGTAGGTGGAGCGGATAAATTAATCGGGTCGGCGGAGGAGCAAGTATGTGGGCGTCGGTGCGACCCAGAAACTTGACTTTCACCCCAAGAGTGCTTTTGCTTTCCTCGTCGAAATAAGTTGCTCGGCACCCCGGGGCTGTCAGAGTCCCTCGAGGTCGTCCCAGGGGCGATCTCGAAAATTCGCCGTCTCCCCGGCGATTCGGTCGGAAAGTCAGCCGCCGGACGCAACGAGCGGAGGAGTTGTTTTGTAAGGTCTCTCGATTAACAGGCCCGGCCATTATTTGCTTGCGAAACAAAGAGGGCTCGTCTTCGACGCGATCCGATTAAAGTAGAGGGTCAAGAGGGAAGAGAGTGCCGCCGCTTCCCCGTTGCGAAAAGCACGCTGAAACGAGCGCCCTTACGTCACTACCATCCGCCGCTCGAGAGCGAAATCGCCGTCGAGCAAGGCCGCCGGCCGGATCTGCGGAATTGCGAGATCCGTGTTAATAGCGGCCGGATCGAGTCAATAAAAGCGTGTTATCCGCCAAGCATCCGTAATAAGGGCGAGTCTAATCGATACGATTGTGTTCGAGCGCGCGTAGGCGGCCGGACGGATACACGCGATTATACACGTCAGAGGCAGGAATGTCGCGCTCGAAAGACTCGCGCGACATCGAAACGGTACTACCCGGTGCCACCCGAGTCGAATGATAATGTTGGCCCTGTGCTCCACTTTTGATTCTATATGGGGAAAAAAAAGTTCGGTCGAATTTACTAGACAGTGAACAAATCGGACGCGTCTCAGTCGAGGAAAACAGAGAATTGCTGGTTGTAAGAATCGAATTTGGGTCACCAAAACGCGCTCGGTTTCTTGGAAACTGAAGAGCTGCAATCGTTTCTCCTTATTAAAGAACAAAGAATATACGAAATGGACTCGTACAACATATCGATCATATGAAATATAGAAATCTATAAAAATTTCTGAACATTGTACAGATATAACGAAACGTGTACGTCAAACTCGACGTTAATAAGTCCAGTGACTTAAACAAAAAAAAAGTGAAAGTTCGCCTAAAATTCGTCGTTTCGACAGAAATCCTCCCTCAAGGGTGTCAAAGTGGCAAAATCTCGACTCGGGTACCTGCGTGACGACAGAGATCGGAACTCGCGGGCGGTCGCGAAAATTCCACCGCGAGGTCGCCGCGTGACGGATGATTCCGCGCTTCGACGTGCTATCGCAATTAGGTATCGCGACGTGTGTGGCATGTGATCCTTTTCTGTCGCGAGCGAATCTCGATGTCGATGTTGTTCCGCGCCCACGCGGAGTAATTGAGACAAACAAGCGCCGTCGAACGGCTAACGAAACGAATTTCGGGCGCGTTGTACCAGCGAAGGAGCGTTATCACTGCAGTTGCATCCGGGGGATAGTTAGTTCAGCTGACGCGAGGATATTCTGTTTTTTAGGAGTTATAACTGAGGGAACACGACACGGTTGCGCGGATCGATTCGCGGTCTGTCGCTACATCGTGATTGAAAGCAACATTTGAGGCAGATTCTTCGTTCTTGATTTTTTCGACATTGTACAAATCGCCGTAAGTACCGAGGATCGACTAACATAAACGGCTGCCGTAAACAAACTAATTGATACACAGCACTGAAAGTCCGCATGAACTTAGCGGCAAAAAGAAATTTCGATTTCGGTTCAATCGCTTCGTTCGAACCGATCGTTCCGGATACTTTTTCGCAGAAGGTATCTTTATCCATATTTAGCTCGCGGCATTGCCTCCCCGGCATTCGGATATCGCGACTGATAAATTTTTGGCGTTCTCGCTTTCGCCGGGAACTCCTTCAATCTTCCTTTATGTGCCAAATACTTCGCTTCCTCGCGACGAGTCTTATCCTCTTTCTCTTATCGCGCAAGCTTCTTTGCTGTACCATAACCATCACAGGGTCACACTGTTATCCCGGAGAGAGAGAGAGAGAGAGAGAGAGAGAATGAGAGAGGGAAAGAGAGAAGGCGAGAGAGGGACACCCACACTAACACCCGCGCCGCCGGTCTCCGGGCATTCGATGCACCGTAAAACGTCCGAGGGTGGCAAAGCCCACCTCCGGGAAGTTACGAGCTCGGAAATAATTTGATAAAGTCCGACGGGTCGGGTCGTCGGTTCGGTCAGATAAATCAACGTAACTGGCAGGAGCGATACCTTGAAGAAGATCCCTAGGTAGTATCTCTTCTCGCCCAACTTCAGCAGCGGCATCGTCCATCTTGAGGCCGCCAAGCTGCTGCTGTGCTCATCCACGCAGTTCGGACAGTCGTCTGCGAATAAAACGGAAAGGTTGGCTCTGATTAATTCTGTCTTTTTCTCGGAATGAAAAGGCTATTAATATCGATGCGCGTGTCTGAGTGAAACGGACGGTAAAGGTCAATTCGTAAATTGAGACCGAGTATGTGCGCAAGATCGATCCCGGGATGCCGAAAATGAAGATTTAGGCGGCAGGTAAGAATATATCCTTTCACATGGAGGACGGATTAATTGCATTGTGTAACGTTTGCTCAATAGAGATAAATGGCGGTCAGTAACGAAAGATCTGTAACTCGGGGGGGAAAAAAAACTTATATAATATTTAATTCATAATTTTCTGTCAATCAACATCACTCGGTCGATCCGAGAATCTTTTGGCGATTTATTGAATTTTCTGACACTAATGGATTCCGAGATCGACGGCCCGACAAAAGTAGTGACGTGTAGATTTCGATTCACTATGCATGCCACCAACACACGTCAGCTTTCTCGAATCTCCTCGTTCATAAATTAACCTGTGCGCTCCGAGTGACTCATTACCAGCCTCCTTCGAAATGCGCCCACCTCGAAAATCTCCCCAAACATTTCTCTCGCGCGGATTATCTCTCAGCATGCACCAAAAATGGTATCAACGAGACATCCCGTTTACCGAGGAGAGATTTATCGGTTTAAACATTGCGTAAACGTCCACGTCCGACGATCGTAGCGAAATTGCGACACGTCATTTCGCGACGAAGAGATTGGTTCCGTCAGAAGGTTAAATAATATGTAATAATACAAGGTTTAATAAAAATAATAAGGGAAAATAATAACGCCAGCTTGATTTTTTTTCCACTCTATTCTCTCCGAAAGTTTAGAAAGATCGAATCGAATTGTTTCCTATCGCGCTAATGCGTTTCGCGTTCACTCCAAATGGGAAATGAAACGCACGCATTTAGGTTTTCATTTCAAATGTACATTTTGCTGAAAAATGTGTTTCACAGGAAGAACGAAAAGTACTGTGTTTTCACGACCGCCATGCCGGAGAGTCGAATATTCATGGAAACTGCGCTATCAATTGGAAACAATGTGATACCCGAGTCGAAATTTCGATCCTATGTTAAACATTTAATTTTACAACACAGCAGGAACTAAGATAGCAAAGTAGGGATCCAATTTCAATTCTAACAATACCATTTATTCCTACCATTACCTGATGGTGATGTCTTGAATTTCCGTTTTCGCTGTTTTAGCGCCAAAATTAATTGTTCAAAGTAACGTTAAAATTAAATCTGTAGACTTCAATGTTTAAGAGAGAAGTTAATGTCAGTATCGCCAAGGTAGGTGTTTACTAGCCTACACAGACAAAGATGCAAATTATTCTCGAAAGCGTCAAAGCAACATCAGAATTTCGACTCGGGTATCCAATTCACAGTTATGAAAATTAATTTGCGCCGCTGTAATAAAGCTAAAATTCGCTCGCGTCTAAATCACGAGAAGAAACGGAAAGGCACCAGGTGAAATTCCAATGACGGTCTTTCCCCTCTTCGTCCGACCTGACCGTCGGTGTCTTTTTAATCGGCGGTGTAATCGGTTTCTCCAACCGTACGCGTATACGAGGAAATTGCAGCTCGGGCGACCGAGGACTTCGGCGGTTGTGCAATTACGCAACGCGGAAGAGATCACGCGCGCACGCACGTGTATGTACGTGTGATACGCCACGTGTTCGCGTTCACCTACGTACGTGATCATCTCGTTCGCACAAAACGTCGTCGACGTTCGCAACGCAACGATGAAAATATTTGCCCACTATTCGCGGAGACGCGAAAACGAGATTCGATCGTGACAGATTGCGATGTGCGCTTGTGCGTAAGCGTGCGACGACCGCGGAAGTAGCCGCGCTTTCTTTTCCAGGGAAAGTATGGGCATGATTATGCGCAGAACGCGATATCAGTGCCGCGGCAAAGCTGTTACAATATTGTCATGTTCGAACGGAACGTGTATACGACGTGTATATTGCGTGACACTGATAAATGCCCGCACTGTAAATTACGAGTACATATTAATAGTACATTGGGAGATTAATAGGCGTGCACGATACAAATTTTTCGGATTTGTAGTTACAATCGCACAAATGAAAGATCTGCAATCGGGGGAAACCTTTTTTTCTGATAATTGTTATTACAGTGTCAACGACAATAATCTTACACATGCATCTTGCTGATATTATTTTTGGATTACTGAGACCAAAATTGACTATAATTTTCGTGAAGCAACAGCAATCACCACCTAGAATATCTTCGAAAATAGGAAATATTTCATTATAACCAGATAAAAATGAAAAAAGTTCACGTTTACAAAAAGAGTGTCCAAAGTGGTGACGATTGCTATCAATTTCTGATAATTTTTCTCCAATTCTCATATTGCACAAATATTCAAGGTGGTAATACTTATTACCTCACCCCGTATCGATTGCAAAATATAATTTTAAAATTTTGGTTAAAAAACCATTTTCTCCCCATTTTTTCGCGCATTTACTTTGCCTTCTTATCTCCTTCGCAGGAAAAAACAAATGTAGCACACGTTTTGTCCGAACGCAGGTGAGAATTTTTCCAAACGAATTTCTGTACCCTTAGGACAAGGAACCAAAGAAATCCGCGGGAAAATCCGGGAAAAAACGGTTTTTATCCCCGAATTCCCAAAACGATATTACGAGGCGTTTTGATTCAATATAAACGAGTCACAGGATATTTGATCGGCAATGGCGGGAACCGGACGAGCCCCGATTGTTTGCGAAACCAGCAGATTTTAAACCCTTCGTTCGGAACGTCGCATGTTCCCTGATATGCAAATCCTTTTCACTAGAGTCGTCATTGTTGCGAGGTATCCGCGCTCGTGAATTAAACATCGAGCATATAAGCCGTTAAGCGACGTAACAGAAGTACGCCGCTGCCCACGCCGATGAATTTACAATTCGATTGATGATGACGACGACGATGCCGCATCACGTGAAATCTCGCTCGTCGCCCTGTCGAGTTCCAGCCATCCTAGTAACCTTGATCGCAAATACGGATTACGAGGATACGAGCGACGCTTTGTCCACGTGACGGCCGCTTTCACCGACTCGATACGAGATACGATCCCGTTCGAAAGTTGCCCCCGCGACATAACCGCCGGGAGATGGGCCGAGATAAAATCTAGAGCGTTATTTTCGTTCGGGCGGCGGCCGTGGGTAATTAAGAGCACTCGCGCCGCAGCTGCAGTCGCGGATCGTTCGACCGGACCGGCAATTCTCCAGCGGAATCTCTACCTCGATTTTCTCAAACTGTTTCTTTCGTCGCGATGGGAAAACATCGAATCGCGTTTCCCACATCAGAACCGGTGCCCCGGTCGGGATTTTATTGCCCTACGTTAACCCGGGACTAGTCGTCTCTCGGTATCTCTTATTAAACAATATTTAACGATCCTTTTCCTGAAAGAGGAGTGAAACAATGTCGGGATCGCCTTGAATAATCGTACTGTCCGAGCAAAAACGAAATAAATTCGTTCGCGAAACGCGGATAAATCGAGACATTTCTCCGCTTCCCTGCCTCTTTTCTTGTCGTAGGATCTCCTTTACCGGGAAACACGAGGACCTTTCGGCTGAGCAGGGCGGAGTGGTGCGCGAAAATGGCGTTATTGCGTCACGGGAATGCGAGTCACGGAAGTCTTCGCTGACGCCCTCCGTCGGTGTACGGAGGATGTGTGCCGTACGTAATCTCACGTGCGTTTGCTTTGCCACCCCGCCGCTGCGGTGGAGGGCTGTAAGGTTGAGTTACACGAGCGGTTGCGCGTCTCGTCAGCCGCGACTCGCGAACTTTCGGCGACGATCCTGCCCCGGCTCTGTCTGCCGGCGACAACAACGATGACGGAATTGCTGCGGCGGGGCTCGTTCGTTACGAGGGCAACGACACCGTTTGCGTTACACACCGCTAATTGTCGCGGTAAATGAGCCGCACCCGGTAAGCGCCGCTCTCCTCTTGCGCGCGCGAGTCGTTTTTTCCGCCTTTCCGCCCTTTCCTCTCACCCACCGTGCCCCGTTAATCTCGCCGTTGTTAACGAAATTCGTCGTTACGCCGCATCCACGTCCGGCATTTTACGCGTAAAACGCCGAGTTGTAGCGTTACGAGCCGAGATGCATCAGCGGTCGCGTGCGAAATCTAGACCATTTGCCGTCGCTGAGACCTCGCGACCTTGATCTCGAGGATCGCTGATCAGCGAGATCCTGTTGTTCCGGAACCGTTACGCCCTCGAATATCTGGATCCTTATCGTTAAAACCCACGGCGCTGAGGATCTCGTTAAAAGTGAATTTATGAAAAACACCGACGCGAAAGTGCTAGTGGCAACTCGATCCGTCGCGTAAATTGAGCGAGGTAACACGGCGGAATTGCGTCGTGCTAAAGTTCGCGGATACCTTTGAGAAACCAAGGGAAGATGGCGACGAGCGAAAGAGCAAGAGAGAGAGAGGAGTTAGAGAGGCGGACGCCTTCTCGGTTTCGTCGACGGACTAATTAGGTCGGCGTACTGCATATTTTAATAATCGGCCCCCCGTTAATCTGCGCTGCGGCGCGTCGCAACGCAGAAAACGTTTCGTCGCGTTAATATTCAACGGACTTCTTAATAGACACCTTGGACTTTTGCTTCTGCTCCCGCTTCTCTTTTTCCCCTCTTTCTCGGCTCCATCCGCCCGTCTCCGCGATCTCTCTCTCTTTCGCGCAGATTGCGCGCAATCGAGAAAAATAAATTACCTCCCATTAGAGGATAGTCACTCCCCCCTTCCTCCTTCCTCGTCTATCTACGTAGTTAGCGGATGCCGAACCTTCCCCGATATTTTCGCGCTTCGATTTCGCGCGCGATCGCGATCTTGCAATTTTAACACTTTCTCGATCCCGACGTGGATCCGAAGACGGCGCGGGCACGAATTTTTACGGGACGTTCTCGCGCCGGATTAATAAAGGGGGGAAACGGCACCTGATCGGCGGTAAACGGCGATCG